ATGACAAGGAAAGGCCCAGTACAAAAATATATATGAAACCCTATTGAGTATCTCAGCCCTACACATTTCGAGCTCCTATGAATTGGGGCCAGTGCGCATCTCATCTGTTCTGATAAGCCCTTATAGGCATTCCATTTTATTTATTTAACCATTCAAAGACCACCTTTTATATATAAGAACAAGGTGCTGTACAGAATAAGATCAATACAAAAAATTTGGCTGGATCTACACAGATATAAAAAATGCTATTAAAGCACACTATAAAATGTATTCCAATGCAATTTAGCATTGACTTTGGATAGTAGATCTACAGTCGGTATTACACATCAGTGTAATTGGAAGCCTTTCTGAATAGCTTTGTTAGAAGTAGCTGGTGAGACACCATTACCCCAACACCCTCTGTATCTCTATAGAAGTTATTCCATGGTATGGGGGCCACTACAGAGAAGACCCTAGCAGGTCTACTCACAGTCAAGAGCAGCATATGAGGGTGATCTGTGGTTGTATTAAGCATCCCCACTTTCTGATGCAAATATGTAAAAGAAAGGGAAACTTTTACATTTGCATACGTCCATGTGAAATGGAACATTGATCACTAGATCATGTGGAAGCCTGCAGATATGAAGTTCCCCCCTTCCCTTCAGACAGCAGCAGCTTTTGGTAGAACTTGCACAATTCCACAAGGGAGGGCACAGTTTTGCATAATATTTCATTGTTCTTATTTATGAGCATAGAGGTAAATTTAGTAACAATTACTATGTGTGCATTCTAGAATGGTTGAAGGCAATTTTGTTCAAATAAGGTGTTATAGAAAGATGAAAAGTGCTCTGCTTTTCATGCTATTTTTACATTCTTGCATTGTGTTTTATTCTATCCACAGCTGTTTTGTAATGTTAAACCACCTTGAGGATTTTTGGTGGGGGGGAGCAAAGAGTGTTATATAAAGCTTTTAATAGAAACTTGCTATTTTCTATTTTGCCAACAAAGGTCCGTATAGTTAAAGCTATGGTTTTCCCAGTAGTGATGTATGGAAGTGAGAGCTGGATAAAGAAGGCTGATCGCTGAAGAATTGATGCGTTTGAATTCTGGTGCTGGAGGAGACTCTTGAGAGTCCCATGGACTGCAAGAAGATCAAACCTCTCCATTCTTATGGAAATCAACCCTCAGTGCTCACTGGAAGGACAGATCCTGAAGCTGAGGCTCCAATACTTTGGCCACCTCATGAGAAGAGAAGACTCCCTGGAAAAGACCCTGATGTTGGGAAAGGTGGAGGGCACAAGGAGAAGGGGACGACAGAGGACGAGGTGGTTGGACAGTGTTGTCAAAGCTACCAGCATGAGTTTGACTAAACTGCGGGAGGCAGTGGAAGACAGGAGTGCCTGGCATGCTCTGGTCCATGGGGTACACGAAGAGTCGGACACGACTAAACAACAACATTTTCTAAAGCCATAGCTATGGGGCCGGGGGCTAGCCAGGTGTTGTATTTTTTGCCCTGGGTGAAGCTTCCAGAGGGGCGCCATTAGGCTCCCAGCCTGTGCATGCGTGCATGCAAATGTGCATGCAATGCACATGGGGGTGTGCCAAACTGGGTCTTTGACCCAGGTGAAATTAAGCCTAGTTTCGCCCCTGCCAGAAAGGGCAGAAATGTTTGCCTTCTCCATGGGCCTTACTAATTAGAATTTCCTCCAAAATGGAGATGAGGAGATGGGTAAGTTTCATTCCAGAGTTGGGACAATGGTTTGCAGTTTGCAAAAAGGGAAAGGGAATACCTGCCATGGCTGCAGCTTTTGATGCTCCAACCTGTCTCTTCCACCCACCATCAACATGAATTTTGATCTGACTGAATATGCGGCTTTTAAGGCCTGAGCCACAGCTTGGATACTGAAGTACGTGATATAGCTGTCTTGAGACAGGGCTCTCTCCAGCTCCTCTTGGGGCAGCGTCTCCAGTTTCTCCTTCTCTCTGCATCTTGTCCGACCTTTTACAGCCAACATGTGCTTTGAATATGAGCAACGGAATGCTTTATTGATAAACTGTCCAAGAAGATTGGATTCTGGTACATAGTATTGGTATTTTCTCCTTATTTGGGGCTTCATTATAAAGGACAAAGAGCCATGGATGTACTGGAAGTAATTTGGAGGAGCAGACAAATGCACATTAATTTCCTGAAAACTTGTTGAGATCCAGACTTTTGCTCCAATTTCTTTCTCAAATTTTTCTTGAAATTGCATGATCGGATTCCATCCCAAGCGAGTGTTTTCATAGTAAACAAATACATTGACTTGCTTCCATATGGCAACTGGTTTACTCAGTCTGAACATTTCAAGTTGATTGTTTTCTGGTATTCTTTTTTCTAAGGCAATGCAAATTCCACTCTTGATAGTCAGGGATGTCAGGGCACTCACAAACCTTTCTCCATTGTCATTGTCTGGAAAAATGAGGCCGATCCAAGTCCATCTGAAATGCAGGAGCAACTTGACAATCCCCTGGTACTGAATTTCTTCTTTGGGCATCATCCGGTAGACAAAAGGGAACTGGGCTTTATTATTATGAAGATGATGTGTAAAGCCACAACTGACCTTGTGAGGAAACGAAGAAAAAAGTGTGCGATTGCCAATCAAAATAGGGAAGAGATATTTATTTACCTGAAATGATTAAAATATTGTGCTGGCAGGAGCTGATGGGAATTTTGGTCTGAAATATCTGGAGGGTGCCAAGTTGGCAGAGGCTAGAAGAAAGGTCCCTGGATCAGATATTATGCTATAGCTAAGGAATTCCCACTTTGTGATGCCCCTTCTTGACCCACATGAAGAGTAAGTGGAATTCTATGCTGCCAAAGTTGTCCTCTGTCTTTCTATCCACACAACTTCATACCTGTGGGATTTTGTAGATGCCTGACATGTCCGAAATTTCTTTTGAGATGACGGAATCAGCCCCTTCAAGAACAGCCAGAAGTTTATTCCTTTTTCCACAGCTGTAGTTTGGAATATTGCTCGTGCCAAGGTCCAACATTGCACTGGAAGTCGTCCTTCTATCAAAATAGTTCTCATAGAGATTGTAGCCCAGGGTGATGTTGGGTAGGATCCTGGGATCCAGATTGATCTCCTGGACGGTGAACAAGAAGAGTAAGATGTACCAGTAGTAGTAACTTTTTGAACTGCAATAAAGAAATCAAAAGGTGTCAAACCACTATTCACCATTGAATGAAAACCAACATGGTCTTCAAATCATGGTTTGTAGATCCAGTATGTGTTGGCATGCAGAGGGCCGGGAGGCCAGCTGGCTAGTCCTGGCTAGGTCGTTCCCTTCCAGCTGTCCCTCTGTGAAGACCATCACCTCTGTTCCGACGTAAATCAGCAACCCGGGCTTCTGAGCCAGGGCACACTACCAGCAGATCAAATTGCACACACAGAATAGGCGTGAGGCTTGTGGAAGCATACTACAACTACAGATTTATTCATCATAAATCAGGACAAAGAAACATGTCATCTCTCTCTCTCGTCGTCTCAGAGAGAACAGCCAAAGCGAAAACGATACACAAATGGAAGTTCCCAGGAAGCTGTGCTGGAATGTAAACAGACATGTAGCACGTAACAATCCCATGTTTGTGGGAGGTGGAATAGAATAAGGTGGAATAGAAATGTCAAACAGTATTATTATTCATAGTAAGGTAAAGGTAAAGGTACCCCTGCCCGTACGGGCCAGTCGTGTCTGACTCTAGGGTTGCGTGCTCATCTCGCTCTAGAGGCCGTGAGCCAGCGCCGTCCGAAGACACTTCCGGGTCACGTGGCCAGCGTGACGAAGCTGCAGCTGGCGAGCCTGCACCAGCGCAGCACACGGAAACGCCGTTTACCTTCCCGCTATAAAGCGGTACCTATTTATCTACTTGCACTTAAGAGTGCTTTCGAACTGCTAGGTGGGCAGGAGCTGGGACCGAACGGCGGGAGCTCACCCCGCCGCGGGGATTCGAACCACCGACCATACGATCGGCAAGTCCTAGGCACTGAGGTTTTACCCACAGCGCCACCCGCGTCCCTGTATTATTCATAGTAGTGTATATTTATACTCCACCTTTACCCCAATGGGACTCAGAACAGCTTACAGATAAAAAATGAAAGGAAAAAAATCCAGGCTTTTCAGAAATTCCCTATGTTTCATGCCACCCTCACTCTCCTCATGCAGGTGGGATAGTTTAATCCTCAAACAGGTGCATTAAATCAATGCATTATTTTTATCTCCAGCAAGAGTCATTTGCATTCTTCTGTTGCCATTTCAAGAGGCAGCACAGCAGCTTAGCTAGAGCAGCATTTTAGCCAGGAAGAGCCAGGGAACAAGAAAATAGGACAGATGTGGGGAGGATCCTGCTGCTGGACTCCAACTCCCATCAGCCTCAGCCAGCAGGGCAAATGATTGGCAGCTATAGTTCAGCAATTGCTAGGGGATCACAGGCTCCCAGACCTGAAATAATAGCCGTTTCCCTGATATATGCAAAACTTTGGAATGATGATGACATTCATCTGCCTATAATTACTTACACTAGAAGCTTCGGTGAGGGGGTCTGGGAAAAGTTGTATGGCCATTGTTTATAAATATTTCTTGGAGATATAATCCCATTAATGAAGAATTCACCAGGCCGGTAGAAATTGAATGCTTCGGTTTTTTCCTTGATCATATTCAAGGAGCATGTTGCCTTCAGTTTCCCGCATACTTCATGGGGCATTAGCAGCAGTAGCAGTAGCAACAGCAGGAATATCATTCTGCCTCTGTGGTTGCTTTTACCTCCAGAGACAGTTAAGCAGAAGAAGCGAAAAACTCTTGCAAGACCAAAGCTGGTGTGGTTTCACCAGTATGCATGCTGTTCAGCTATGGCTTCAGAGCCATTAAACCCCAGACAGGAATATATCCCTCTTCCCCTATGGGAAATCTCGACTCCATCTGTCTCTGACACTTTCCAAAAAAACCACAGTGCAGCAAATAACCACTTGCTTCTATTCTTTCCGATGCTTTGGAAAGTTGCAGAAACACCTTTGGCAAGAACAAATCACTATGATTTGGATAATTATAAGGCAAAGAAGTTTCATCTCTGCAATATTATGGAGTCTCTTGGTGACGAGGGGCAGACGCAGAGCTGGAGAGAAACATATTTGCAAAAAGTCACAGATGTGGCTCCAAAGTTTGAGGTATGATCCAGCATGTCTCTTAGTTGCCTCTTAGCAAAGTTTAGGCCAAACTCCACACACACATCCAACAGACACATAGACTCACTGGAGACTCACTGGAGAGCCAGTGTGGTGTAGTGGTTAAGAGCGGTAGACTCGTAATCTGGGGAACTGGGTTCGCGTCTCCGCTCCTCCACATGCAGCTGCTGGGTGACCTTGGGCTAGTCACACTTCTTTGAAGTCTTTCAGCCTCACTCACCTCACAGAGTGCTTGTTGTGGGGGAGGAAGGCAAGGAGAATGTTAGCTACTTTGAGACTCCTTAGGGTAGTGATAAAGTGGGATATCAAATCCAAACTCTTCTTCTCTTCTTCTTCTTCTTCTTCTTCATCATAGAATTGTAGAATTGGAAGGGATCCTGCGGGTCATCTAGTGCAATTCCCACATTCCTTCAGGTCCTAGTCTCCAGGGCAGGCTAAAGCAAGCTCGCTCCATCTTCCATGGGACAGCCCTTTAGATATGCCTCTCACATCTCCTCTCACTGTCCTCTTCTCCAGGCTAAACATAGCCAACTCTCTCAACCGTTTATCATAAGGCTTCCAGACCCTTGATCATCTTGGTTGCCCTCCACTGCACATGTTCCATGCTATTGCTTCCCTTGTTCTGGGCACTATACGTCTGATGATGCAACCTAGAATAATGTTAGCTTTTCCACTGCTACATCATACTGTTGACTCATGTTAAGCTTGTGGTCTACTAAGCCTCCTAGATCCTTTACACATGTATTACTGGCAAGCCACATGTCCCGCATCTTAAAGTTGTGCAGCTGGTTCATCCTGCCTAAGTTTCGAACCTGACATTTGCATGCCAAGGCCCCGTGACCAAGTCACTCCTTATGTATTGAGTCACCTGATAAGACATTAGCATACAGATTTTGGGTTCAAAGAGGTCACAACTTTATCGGATACAGATGTAAAAGGTTTGGCATAGGCATTGGGTGAAGACATTTAACTAAATCCAGCCCATCTTCTAGGGTGCTTATCTAAGGGTAACTGACACCATGGGAAGAGGAGACTATGACCTACATCAAATAGGGGTACCCCTTGAGGGTTCCCTTTGGAGGAGTGCTATGGCATCCCAACAGAAGCAACGCCTTGCAGATCCCTTAAACAGGTTTCCCTCAACTAAGGAGGGGCAGGCAGAGGCTACAACCTCCCCTCCAGCTAAGACTAAGGCTTACCCAATACCTAACCTAACAAGGTTATGGCGATTGCTGTGAAGTAGGTGAAAACCAAGTGGTTGGTGCTAATTTGCCAAGTGCACAAAGTCCAGCTTGGTCCTAAAAAGTCCATAGCAAAGTTTTAGCAAGAAAGAAAAAACATATGAAAAAAGAATAGAAGGGTGGGATATACGACGGAAAAGCTGAGATTCCCGAACAAGAGACTGAGCTGTTGTTAATCTAAAACTATAGGCCAATTTCGTTATTAAGTAACGATTATAAATTATTTGCAAACATATTAGCCAATAGAATGAAAGGAATATTGTTAGATATAATACATCATGACCAAGCAGAATTTCTTCTAGGTCGTCAGATGAAAGATAATATAAAGAATGTAATTAATGTCATAGAGTACGTGGAGGTAGGAAATGAAAAACAAGCAGCCTTGATGTTTATTGACACTGAAAATAATATTTCTTGGTCATTTATGCATAAGGTTTTAGAAGAGTTGAATTTCGGGGAAAGGTTCAGAAGAGGAAAAGATGCAATTTATTCAAAGCAACAAGCAAGATTAATTGTGGATAGTGTTATTACTGAGAAATGCAAAATTTTGAAAGAGGCAAGACAAGAATGCCCCTTGTCACCATTATTGTTTATCTTAGTATTAGAGGTTCTGGTGAGAAATATAAGAGCAGAAGAAACCATCAGAGGAATAAAAGTAGGAAATAAGGCATATAAATTTAAAGCATTCGCGGATGACCTTGTAATAACAGTTGAAGACCCTATAATCTCATTACCAAAAGTATTAGGAAAAAATACTGGAATTTGGACAAGTATCAGGTTTTAAATTGAATAAAAATAAGGCTAAGCTTTTAGTGAAGAATGTTTCAGAGCAAGATAAAAAGGAGATACAGCAGAAGAGATAAGTATGTATAAAAAAGTTAAATATTTGGGAATATGGTTGACAGTCAAGAATATTACTACATTTGGAGATAATTTTGAAAAATTATGGAAATAAAAAAAAAGGAATTTAGAAATTTGGGGAAGGATGAGTTTGTCATTATTGGGTAGAATTTCAGTAATTAAGATGAACGTATTGCCAAAAATCTTGTTTTTATTTCACTCAATCCCGGTGGTAAGCAGTGTGAGCTGTTTCAAAGAATGGCAAAAAGACATTAGAAGATTTATCTGGAGGGGGCGGGGAACCAAGAATTAAACATAAATTATTAATAGATGTTAAAGATAGAAGATAGAATCTCTTCCAACTCTATGATTCTATGATTCTATGATTCTATGATTCTATGATTCTATGATTCTATGATTCTATGATTCTATGATTCTATGATTCTATTCTAGGTTTCTCTCTACTGGATTTAAGATTATAAAGCATCATGCATTTCCTGAATATGGGATTGGATAAATTTAACAAATGCTGATTTGTTAGATTTGGAAGGTCATGATAATAGAGTTGGTTGGCATGGGTATCTATGGTATCATAAGGCAAAAGTTCACAAAGGATTCTATAATCATATAAAAGAAACTCGATTCTTAAAGTCTGGGAGAAATACAAAGATCTGTTAGAACAGAAAACACCATGGTGACTTTCCCCATTAGAAGCAAGATCTTTGAAAACAGTGAATATGAGGACAAATTGACCGACATATAGAGAGCTGTTAACAGAAACAGACAACCAATTAAAATTAAAAGATTTTGAAGAAGTTAGAGAAAAAGTAATAGTCATTTTCAATTATATGAAACTTTTAAAAATGATAAAAATAAATGATTTAGTTATGAAGTCCAGTCCGGCTTCCACGCTGGTCATGGGACCGAGACGGCTCTGGTCGCCCTAACAGATGATCTCCGCAGGCAGCTGGATCGAAGCGGGTCGGGGCTGATGATTCTTCTAGACCTGTCAGCAGCCTTTGACATGGTCGATCACGAACTCCTGGACCACCGCCTTGCCGATATGGGGATTCAGGGCACAGTCCTTCAATGGCTGCGCTCGTTTCTCTCTGGTCGGGGACAGAGGGTGGCGCTTGGGGGGGGGGAATTGTCATCGCGCCACTCCTTGGTGTGTGGAGTGCCCCAGGGTGCGATACTCTCCCCGATGCTTTTTAACATCTTTATGCGCCCCCTCGCCCAGCTTGTCCGGAGTTTTGGGCTGGGCTGCCATCAGTATGCTGATGACACCCAACTCTATCTGTTGATGGATGGCCATCCTGACTCGGCCCCAGACACACTGACCAGATGTCTTGGAAGCTGTGGCTGGATGGTTACGTGGGAGCCGGTTGAAGTTAAATCCTTCAAAGACAGAGGTCCTCTGGCTGGGACGGGACGATATGGGATTGAGGGGGCAACTCCCATCTCTTGTGGGGGTGCAATTAGTGCCAGCACTGTCCGTTAAGAGTTTGGGTGTAATCCTCGATACCTCCCTCTCCATGGAGGCGCAGATTGCAGCTATAACAAAGGTGGCATTTTTTCATCTCCGCCAAGCTAAGCAGTTGGCTCCTTACCTCTCTCGCCCTGACCTAGCCACTGTGATCCACGCGACGGTCACCTCCAGACTGGATTACTGTAACTCGCTCTACGTGGGGCTGCCCTTGAGACTGACCCAGAAACTCCAGCGGGTGCAGAATGCCGCAGCGAGACTCCTTACGGGGTCTTCACTGCGAGATCACATTCATCCGGTGCTATACCAGCTGCACTGACTCCCGGTGGAGTACAGGATCAGGTTTAAGGTGCTGGTTTTAACCTTCAAAGCCCTATACAGCCTAGGACCCTCGTACCTACGGGACCGCCTCTCCTGGTATGCCCCACAGAGGAACTTACGGTCTTCAAACAAAAACATCTTGAAGGTCCCAGGCCACAGAGAGGTTAGGCTGGCCTCAACTAGAGCCAGGGCTTTTTCGGCTGTGGCTCCGATCTGGTGGAACGCTCTGTCACAAGAGACTAGGGCCCTGCAGGACTTGACATCTTTCCGCAGGGCCTGCAAGACAGAGCTGTTCCACCAGGCCTTTGGTCAGGGCGCAGCCTGACTCCCTCCTTTGGCAATCTTTACAAAACTTTAGTTTATGGTTGCCATCAATTTTGATTTTAATTAATTTTTATAATGTTCTTATAATGTTGCACTATTTTAGTGTTGTTAGCCGCCCTGAGCCCGGCTTCAGCTGGGGAGGGCGGGATATAAATATTATTTATTATTATTATTATTAAATAGTAGAAGGTAGGACAAAATTGCTGTCAAAAATATACAATCTGTTCTTGGAGTGGGACACCAAAGAGGAACAGGTCAAATGTGTTATGATAAAATGGGTGAAAGATGTGGGACATAATATACTAATGATGGATTGGGAAAGGCTTTGGAAGTCAGATATGAAATTTACTGCATGCACTCTACTGAAAGAGAACTATTTGAAAATGATGTATCGGTGGTATCTAACCCTGGTTAAATTAGCAAAAATGTATAGAACAAGATCTAATAAGTGTTGGAAATGTAGAGAAACAGAGGATACATTTTATCATATGTGGTGGGAATGTAGGAAGGTTAAAAACAAATGGGAAATGATTTATAATGAAATGAGAGAAAAAAATGTTTACAGCAACCTTTGTTAAAAAACCAGAAGCCTTTTTATTAGGTATTGGAGGAGCAGAGATTCCAAAAGACCAGAAAAAAATGTTTATGTATGCTACGACAGCTGCCCGGATACTGTTAGCCCAAAGATGGAAAGAGGAAGCAGTCCCAACGAAAGAAGATTGGCAAACCAAATTAATAGACTATGCTGAAATGGTGAAACTAACTGGAAAGCTCAGAAATCAAGACGACAAGAAATTTTAAAAAGAATGGGAAATGTTTATTACCGTATGTATTTGCAAGAGTTTTGTAAACCGATTGATACATTGGCAGGATTTTAAGAACACTTGTAATTTTAGAAATTGTACAGGAAATCTGAGGTAAAAAAAATAATTTGGAGTAGAAATGATATGCAGATGAAAAGGAATTTAGTGAACCAGGGGTGGGGGGAGTCACGGGATTTGTAGAATCCCATTTTATGGATTTAATATTATTTTTGTGTATAATTTTCTTTGTGGTTGTTATTGTTTGCTTTATTTTTGTTATTTTTGTTGGAAAATTAATAAAAATATTTTAAAAATGGAAGAAAAAACAGATGAAAAAGGAATCGGAGGGTGGGAGATACGAGGGAAAAACCGAGGTGTGCTGGGCTGGCCTCAAGCTATTCTCCTTGGGCAGACCCAAGTGATGTGCATTGGCTAGTTGGGCCTGTCCCTTAGGTAATCCCCAGATGCAGGCTTGCCTGCCACTGGCCAATCCACAGGCAGGCTTGCAGTCCTCCCCAGCCAGCCACTGGATCGCTGACGTGGGGCTGTGGCCAGACTGCAATGCCATCTGACCATTTAAGGTGAGCAGACTTGTCCCTATTGAACTTATTGTTTTTTATTTGGGCTTGGTTTTCCAATCTCATTTGATCATCCTAAATCCTAATTCTGCCCAACTTTGGCAGCATTAGTTACCCTTCCCAGTTTGGATTCATCTGCAAATTGGATTAGTATCATCTCAATTCGTTCATCCAAGTCATTCATAAAGGTAAAAGGGACCCCTGACGTGGACGACTCTGGGGTTGCAGTGCTCATCTCACTTTATTGGCCGAGGGAGCCAGCGTACAGCTTCTGGGTCATGTGGCCAGCATGACTAAGCCGCTTCTGGAGAACCAGAGCAGCGCACGGAAACGCCGTTTACCTTCCCGGTACCTATTTATCTACTAGCACTTTGACGTGCTTTCGAACTGCTAGGTTGGCAGGAGCAGGGACCGAGCAACGAGAGCTCACCCCATCATGGGGATTAGGACTGCCGACCTTCTGATCGGTAAGTCCTAGGCTCTGTGGTTTAACCCACAGCGCCACCGCATCTCTAAGTCATTCATAAAGATGTTGAAATAAATAAAAACTTTTTTGAAAAGGATTAAGAAACACTTCCCCCAAAAAAATCTTTAAAAGAATCAAGTCCTTAAAAAAATTTTTTTTCCTAAAAAAGTATTTAAAAGAATCCACAAAATTGTCCAGTAGCACCTTAGAGTTTGTTCTGGGTATGAGCTTTTGTGTGCATGCACACTTCTTCAGATACTCTGAAACAGAAGTCACCAGACCCTCATATAGTGAGAGAGTGGGGAGAGGTATTTCTCAGAATGGTAGTGGGAATGCGTGATTGGCTAATAGGTATGGTAAACCTTCCATCCAAGATTGAGGGGGACCATCACGCACCACACAGGTGTGATGTCACACAGGTGCAAAGCCATTTTGTCAGGAGGAGACCGAGGATGGAGCCCAGCAGCTTTAATGCCGGCGGCTCCTCTTGTCTCCTGCTCCGGAGGAACCGGCCACTGAAACCAAGCCACGCTCAGCTTCCTCCACCCTCTCAACATTGTGGAGCCCTGCCCTATGTCAACAGATATTGTGGGAGCCAAAGTAAGCTTGGCCCCATAGAGTGAGCGCCCCTGGTGATTGAACATTTTGACCATGAGACTAATAGTTACTTCCCATTTAAGCAAAACATAAAGTGCCAATATTGGTGTGCTGATTTCATGTTTGTTTGTTTTTGTATTCTTAACATGTATATTCTCTTTTCCCAAAATCTTTCACAGGAGGTCTTTGTGGATGGTAGATTTTTCTCCACTATAATGCAGCCCACTTTTCTAATCCCAACCTTGTTTTGTTGGATCATTCTTGAGTTTTTGTAAACAAGTTTTGCTCCACCCAAGCACCTGTGCAAGGAACCACATAGAGAGTTTGTGATCCATTGGAGAGGCGATTCTTCCCCTTATCATTGTGTAAATGATGGTGATTTAGTTCTCTAATTCTGCCAAAGCTCAAGGGACTTCCCTGAATATCACATCTGAGACCATTAGCAGAAACTGCCAGATTTGGGAGCAACAAGATGCAATTTCTTGCATCAAGCCTGAAAAAGGTCGAGGTATAAACATGTTGCACTCCACTGAGATCTTGGGTTGGGGGTTTCAAAATAGCAGGGATGCTGTCAGTGTGATATCACCCTCTTTGAATGAGAAGCCCTGGTGGGACGTCATCTGTATTAGAAAAATCATTGATAGCAGGCAGCTTTGTTCAGTTTTGGCTTCTTTCAAGCAAGCAGGCAAGAGGGAAGTGAGTGACAGCCTCAGACATGTCCATGATAATACTACTTCTGCTCTACAACGTCTATGGGCAGCTGAAGGGAAAATGTCCCTTGAATTTAGTGAGAGATCAGTATCATCCCTTGAACTACTATAGCGCAGGAGACCATCTCATCGGTGGGATTTTCCCCACACAAACTGGAGCATCCTGGCCAGTCTCGTTCTCCCAGGTTCCTTCTATCCACATATCTCCGTAAGTACCATAAATTATGTGGGGATGAGTTTAATGGTAGGAAACCATAAATCTAATGCTTTAAACCTCTTTAAAAGAGTTGGTGGGTATTTCCTTGCATCGGTCCCTGCTAAATCCCAGTCTCTTCATATGTCTCTGTTTTGCAATGTGATTCTGGAAGGGAGCAATATGAACCCTCCAGTAATACGAACCCTTCACCATCTTGTTTTGAATAGCACACTCTGATAACAGATTAAAGCTTTTACCTGACCCATAAGATTGGGCCCTGATGTATGTCTCCAAATCCCCTGGATCAATGCTTTATTTCCTTTTGCCTTGCTGTTTATTGGTTTTAAGTTGCATTTTCAATTTTATTATTGTATCATGACATAGTATGAAAAGTCTTTCTGGTAAGGCTGTACAATCTTAGAAGGTGGCATGGCTGTGACTGTCATGATAGAAACCTTCGCTTCTGAACATACCACTACATTATTGGATAGACACATCTATCCTAAGGGATCTAAGGCTAAGGGAGCTGGGCATGTTTAGCCTGGAGAAGAGGAGGTTAAGGGGTGATATGATAGCCATGTTCAAATATATAAAAGGATGTCACATAGAGGAGGGAGAAAGGTTGTTTTCTGCTGCTCCAGAGAAGCGGACACGGAGCAATGGATCCAAACTACAAGAAAGAAGATTCCACCTAAACATTAGGAAGAACTTCCTGACAGTAAGAGCTGTTTGACAGTGGAATTTGCTGCCAAGGAGTGTGGTGGAGTCTCCTTCTTTGGAGGTCTTTAAGCAGAGGCTTGACAACCATATGTCAGGAGTGCTCTGATGGTGTTTCCTGCTTGGCAGGGGGTTGGACTCGATGGCCCTTGTGGTCTCTTCCAACTCTATGATTCTATGATTCTATCTGCCTTGCCTTTTGGTGAGGATTGTCCCAACATTTGAAGGTGGGTTGGCTATTAAAAGCCTGTTTATGACTGAACGTGAGTATCACCCTAAAACTAAATTTGTATTGCTTGAAAATTCCCTTCATGTAGCAGAGTGCGGAAAGTTACATGTGTTGTTAAATTGAGGGTGATGATACAGAATATATGATATCTTGCAGAAGTAAAGACATAGATTTACTCCACAATCTGGCCTTCCTGCTCGCCATCCACGAGATCAACCAGAATCCCAGGCTCTTACCCAACATCACCCTGGGCTACAATATCTTTGAGAACTATCACAATGCAAGAATCACATACGACGCCATGGTAGAGCTGCTCTATACCAGACATGCAAGTATTCCAAACTACAGCTGTGGAAGGCAGAATAACCTGCTGGCTGTCCTAGAAGGTGCTGATTCTGAAATCGCTGTCCATATTTCAAACATGTTGGGCATCTACAAAATCCCACAGGTGTGAAATGGGGTGCACTTTAATTTCACTTTGCTTTGAATGGCCTTGTTCTCTGTCTGATGGGCAAAGTTACTGTCAGTCTCAAGCTTTATTTGTCCTTTCAACAGCCTTCTTTCTTTCTAAATCCTTCTGGATTACAGGGTGTTGAATTTCGCTCCAATCCACACAGAATCAATACAACAGAGAGTCTATTGACATAATGTTAGTCTGACTAGGGTTTGGTCACCAAGTGTAGCCCAAGGCTGCAACTGAATCCAACATACCTGGGGCTAATTCCCAAGAAATTCTATGTCTTGCTTTTTAGCAGACCTGGTTAAGATTGTTCCTGGCACAAGTTCTCTCTCTCTCTCTCTCTCTCTCTCTCTCTCTCTCTCTCTCTATATATATATATATTTGATATGGAAATTCTGTGATATGGGGATGAGATGCATACAAGAGGATTCAATGGAAGTCAAGCAAGACACTTTTCTCTTCCATTCCCTTCCAGGTTAGTTATGGGTTTGTCTCGCATGACATCAATGATAAAACTCAGTTTCCTTTTTTCTACCGGATGCTCCCCAAAGATGACCACCAATACACAGGGATTGTCAAGTTGCTCCTGCATTTCAGATGGACGTGGATCGGTCTCTTTGCTCCAGACAATGACAACGGAGAAAGGTTCGTGAGGTCCTTGACCCCTCTGCTCACCTCGAATGGGATTTGTGCTGCCGTCTCACACAGAATCCCAGAAATGACTCGGTATGAAGTGAAAATTCAGGTTGATTCATTTCTCACATGGAGACAAGTCAATGTATTTGTTCACTATGCAGAGACTCGTTCTTTCTTCAGCGGAATACTCTTTATAAATCAAATACTCACATTGTGGCTACAGTCCACTGAGGGGAAAGTCTGGATCACAACTGCTTTGTGGAACATCACCCCAACGTTGTCTGACTGGAGATTACGTTTCCAGCACCGCCACTGTTTCTTTTCCTTCTTAATTCAGACGGAGATTGCCCTAAAACATGACAATTTTGACTTCAAACGCTTAGTTCCTTACTGGAAGGAAGTGTTTGATTGTTTCTTTTCAAAGCACTTGTTTTCTGCGAAAGAACGTCACAGATGTGAACAAAAGGGGGAATTGCCCCTGGATATCCTTGTGCAGAGTCTTTCTCCAGACAACTACAACATCTATAGCAGTGCGTATGCTGTGGCACATGCCTTAAATGCTGCTTACTCATCCAGATCCAAGCAGGTGGCAATGATGGGTGGAGGAGACGGGCGGAGGCTTCAGAGGCTACAGCCATGGCAGGTATTCCTTTTTCCATAAATGATAGTACTAATGAAATGTGCAAAAGTGTTCTATCATTATTTAGAACAGGCTTTGTGGAGATCCCACAACCACCCTCCACTTCTTCAATATTTATGCATTTTGGAAGGGTATCTCACCAATCAGGGCTTGTTTGTTTTTTGCGGGTTGGGGGTGGCATTGCTACAGAAAAAGCAACAACCTTTTCTTATATTTCTAACCCATGGTGGAGGAACTTCTGAGGCGGCCAAATTTAACGTGTGTGTGTATTAAAGCGATGAAAGGGAAAGGGGGGAAAGAGGAAGAAGGAAAGTGCAGGAAAGTGCAAGAATTACAATAAGAAATATATAATATGATACAGTAACTATAATCAATTACATTTCATGGAATCTTAGAGTTGGAAGGGATCCAAGGGCTATCTAGTTTAACCCCTTGCAATGCAGGAATAGTTCCCATACATTGTTATATAGATATATGAAAAATATATGAAGCTGGGATACAACACCAGACTTTGGAAAAAGAAACCACATTTGCTGTTATGGAACATATATCAAGGTTTATTTGATTTTTTGCTGTATGCAGGGATGTAAAGTGGCAGCTGATTAGTAAATACTGGGGGAGTCATCTAGAGACTAATTAAGATTATGCGTAGGAACAGGAACAGGGGATCATCATGGACATATCTTATAAGGAGAGCAGGAAGCCAGTTTTGGAATTATATTACCTTGTATTAAATTGAAACAGTTCGGCAAGATTTGTAATCATTTGGAAAATTGATAACAAATAATAATTGGAAAATGCGGCAAGATTTGGTTACAATCAGAGCAACGAAACATAATTTCCCATAAAAGAATTTCACGTTTCTCCCCATCCCCAAATGGGAAGCACTGAAGTGATGTTCTTTTTATCCATGTGTCGTTCTAGTTCCACTCATTTCTGAAGAGCTTTGGATCTTACAACGCCACCATGGATGGGGAGGGGGAGTTGGCCGCCGACTTTGATATTTTTACCAGGGTGGTGTGGCCCAACACTTCTGTGGCTTCTGTGAAAATTGGGAGTCTCAGGCAGCAAGCACCTCCAGACAAAAGGTTCAGCATTGACGAAGATGCCATTGTGTGGCTTGCGCAGCTTGTTCAGGTGAGGAAAACCAAGGGTTAAGAATCCCAGTTATTCAGTGCCTTCAGAACACTGTTGTTGTTTAGTCATTTAGTCATGTCCGACTCTTTGTGACCCCATGGACCAGAGCACGCCAGGCACTCCTGTCTTCCACTGCTTCCCGCAGTTTGGTCACACTCATGCTGGTAGCTTCGAGAACACTGTCCAACCATCTCGTCCTCTGTCGTCCCCTTGTGCCCTCCATCTTTCCCAACATCAGGGTCTTTTCCAGGGAGTCTTCTCTTCTCATGAGGTGGCCAAAGCATTGGAGCCTCAGCTTCAGGATCTGTCCTTCCAGTAAGCACTCAGGACTTATTTCCTTCAGAATGGATAGGTTTGATCTTCTTCCAATTCATGAGACTCTCAAGAGTCTCCTCCAGCACCATAATTCAAAAGCACTTCAGAACACTAGGTGGGGGTTATTTGCAGAAACACCCGGTGAGCCCCTCACCCTACTGCAGTAAATATTAAGACTCTTCTCATCCTAAGGCATTTCATAGAATCACAGTATTGCACAGCTGGAAGGGATCCTAAGGGTCATCTAGTCCAACTCTCTGCAATGCAGGAATCTCAGCTAAAGCATTCATGAGAGATGGCCATCGAACTTCTGCTTTAAAACTGCCAGCGAAAGTGTCCACAACCTCCCGAGGGAGACCAGGAAGTTCTTTCTGATGTTTCATTGGAATCTCCTTCCTTGTAACTTGAAGGCATTGGTTCCGGTCCTACCCTCCGGAGCAGGAGAAAACAAGCTTGCTCCATCTTCCATGTGGCAGTGAAGCTTTGCATCCATCTCATTGCTTAATTTGCCCCAGATTGGACTAGATGCTGATATCACTTTAGAGAATGCATTTACAACAGATCAATGATAGGTGGTTTCCCATTCTGAGAAAATAATGCTGGACCAGATGGGTCTCTGGTCTAATCCACAAGGACCCTTTTCTGTGGGGCAGAAGCTAGAGCAATTTTCTCATAAAATGAGGAGTGATTGTGTATTTTCTTTGCCTGTTACTCAGTTCTGTGGCTTATTGACCCATCCCTAACACTTTTTATTTGATATTCATTCATCTTATGGTTAGACACTTCCACATTCAAGGTGCAGCAAAAGCTGCTCTTCTGGATACGTCAAAGTGATTCAAGAAGGAAAGCCGCTTTGCTGCTATGCGTGTGCTCAATGTCCCAAAGGGACCATCTCCACCCAGGAAGGTAAGGAATTCCAGATGGAAAGGAAGCCCTTTCCGAACAAGGCATGTCCCACCAACTAGAAGACAAACACAACCCCCTGTGTTGCAAAATGTAACAATCAATGCAAATGCAACACGCTGGCTAATAACTGGTAGTGGATATATAATTAATTACAATGTCACTCAAAATATGCTAATACGCCACTACAAAATAATGTATCTATCATACAGTACATCTCACAAAATATACGAGTGACTTTAAGCTGTTGTATATATAAGAGTCAAATGAGGAGTCAAACAAAGCATTGAATAGTGAGGAACGCCAAGCTGTCTCTCAAAGGAAGACGTCCTATGAAAGTCTCAAAGGAAGACGCCTCTCAGAAGTCTTAAAAGGAATTCTGAAGAGGACAGTATATCCGGAACAGTTCACTGTTTCGAAATAAAGTCTTCATCAGCTGGAAATGGAATAGAAGGCATTGCTAGCAATGAATGACAACAAAACTGAGCAACCTGCATGAATGTTATACAGTAAAACAAAATATATAGAGGTACTGTACATAGCAAATAATTATCAATGAGATAGTCATCCTAGTGTTGATTACCACCAACTAGAAGAGGCTGACCCAAAAGGGTAGACAGAGTGAAGCCAGGAGTCTCAATAGCATTATTTAGGACGTTCTAGGTCTCTGGTATAAGCTGCCACCCAACATATTATGGCATCTTGAAGAATCGAGACTAATACAAAGACCTGTATGATACATGGAACAAAAATCATAGGACAATGAAGCAACTCTTTATCATTGCAGATGCAGACCATTGCAACAAATGTCCAGAAGATGAGCATCCAAGCAAGAACCAAGATCACTGTGTCCCCAAGATTATCAGCTTCCTAGCCTATGAAGACAAGTTGGGGATCCTCTTGGTTTCCATTGCTCTCCTCTTATTTTTAATCACAAGCTTTGTGTTAGGAATCTTCATTAGATTCCAGGAAACTCCCATTGTCAAAGCCAACAATCGGGACCTCTCCTACATCCTCCTCATCTGTCTCTTTCTCTCCTTTTTGTCCTCCTTCCTCTTCATTGGCCGGCCAAGGAAATTGACCTGCCTTCTCCGACAAACGGCCTTCAGCATCATCTTCTCAGTTGCCGTGTCTTCTGTATTGGCTAAAACCATCACTGTGGTGCTGGCCTTCCTGGCCACAAAACCCGGGAGCAAGGTGAGGAGATGGCTGGGGAAGAGTCTGGCCAACTCCATTATCATTTCCTGTTCTGGTGTTCAAGTTATCATCTGTGGCACCTGGCTGGGGGTGTCTCCCCCATTCCCAGATTCTGACATGCAGTCTCAGCCTGGAGAGATCATCCTGCAATGCAACGAAGGGTCTGCTGTCATGTTTTATGGTGCCCTCGGCTACATGGGCTTCCTGGCTGCCATCTGCTTCACAGCGGCTTTCCTGGCCAGGAAGCTACCTGGGGCCTTCAATGAAGCCAAGCTGATCACCTTCAGCATGCTGGTCTTCTGCAGTGTTTGGGTGTCCTTTGTTCCCACTTACCTGAGCACCAAGGGGAAATACATGGTAGCCGTGCAGGTCTTCTCCATGTTGGCCTCCAGTGCTGGGCTTCTGGGCTGCATCTTCATCCCAAAGTGCTACATCATCATATTCAGGCCTGATCTGAATACAAAGGAGCACCTGACAACAAAAACTAAAGATGGCATCTGACTTAAAATATGATTTTATAGTTGAACTGCAGTGCAGCAGTAATGGAACTGCAGTACTTCTCATTTAAATGTAGCTTCACACATGGTAAATCCCATTTATTTCTTTAATTAATTAATTTCATAAAATTTAAGCTCCACTTCGTTGTAGGGAAAAATCCCTCAAAGCATTTTCCAAAAGGATAAAGCAATAAAATTATCCTTTCTTTTAATAAATTGCAAAACCACAATAGAATAAACTAAGACAAATTAAAACTCTTACAAGCTTTATAAACATCTGAGTAGGCCTGTCTAAATAAGAATGTTGGTAACAATAAAAATCAATGCATAATAACTCACCACTAGTCACAGACCATTTGTACTTGTTAGCACAGACCAAGTGCTTGTTTATTGCAGTGTCATCCATCATACTGGCCATTGGCAGCTGCTGGTCTTTACCTCTTGGCTACGGTTGTTTCTGTACAGGGCATGCTCACCGAGTCGGGTCAGACATGGGGGCTGGGGGCTGTTGCACTGAAAGTAAGAAGCAACCAGCAATTCTCAAGCCTCTTACATGTGAATCACAAGATACTCCCACTGGCAGCAGCTATTGATCGGTCTCTCAACTCCCCTCCTAATTCACCTCTTATCAGATGTTCAGCCTGGCCATCTGGGTGCAAGGCCTGCCTGGCAGCTGAGTGGCAAGTGCCAAAGGGGAGCCTTTCCCCCATGCAGGCCTGGTAGCACCTCTCTTTGGGGTGTGGCGTTGCTCAGGGACCAGGGGCGGTGGCGACTGCTGCCCAGAGGACTCCCAAGGAGACGAGGGGGGAGGCTGAAAGAGCACTCCACAAGGGAGGGTGCTCCAAAAGGGGTGAGGGGCTGCCAGCTCTGCAGGCGAGGGGTGACATAACTGGGCTTCTGAGGAGCCGCAAAAAGAATGGAGTTGGTCAAGGGAGCTGTGGACTCAAAAAGATTGAAAACCTCTGGTGTAACCAATTAGAAGTGAACATGAGGGGTTCATGAGTTGTCCACGTGCTCAGGTATCCAATTATATTGCTTGTGAAGATCGGGCATGAGGTAATCATATATAGAGAAAGTTATAAAAGTGCCTTGAAGCGCATACAAGTTGCCCAGCTTTTGGAGATATCCTCTGGGCCACTCTTGTTCCTGCTTGCATAAAACGGAATCCTTTCCACACATTGTTTATCTCCTTTTGGCTTGAAGAACCAGAGGAACTAAGACCCTCTTGTCAGTGTTTGTAAAAAATAATAATAAAAAAAGGTTCTGACCTCCCTTTGTTGCCTCAGCCTGGTCCTCGGACCCTTGTCGGCATAAAAGAGTCCGCGAGAAGAGTATCCTTGCAGAGTGCTTTCTGCTTTTATTCTTAAAAGCCTTTCTGCAAAAGCGACTGACCAACGGTACACACATCAACACTACCAGCTTTCACTAACCAACCAACCGACACAACAACAAACTAACATTTCTCACTCTATATATACAGCCCGGTGCAGGCCGCTGACTCATGCTGACCCAGCTTTTTAAGCATTAAAGGAACAGCGGCTAATTTTTAGCCACCTCTTTGTAGGGTAACAATATGGAGGTGAGGTAACAAGGTTTAGTGAGCAGGAAGAGTCGGAGGCAGAGGACAGTTCAGACTCTGAGGTAGAAAGTGAGGTTGGAGAAGTGTGGAACTAGGAGACAGAGAGGTAGCCTGCTTCAAAAGCCATGGAGTCTCCTCCCTCTGGCTGCACCCAGTTTTGATGTAGGAGTGCAAATATCCAGAGTGTGGGGTCAGGTGGGATTACTATGAGGAATTATAAAATATGCATCAAGCCATTGTGTCCACGATGAATGCATTGTGTTGTCTGGGTTTGATATATTGACAATAATTTCTGATCAAATCCCACAACCCTCTGCATCTCTGGCCATTTCCTCTACTGTCCATTTCTCTTGCTTCACAAGTCACATACACAGCCCAGTTGTCGCCAGGCAGGCATCTTGGGCCATAAAGATAGTGGGCAAGCTTCTTTGAAGGAGCCTTTCCAATATGTTAATCTCAGGATGTTAATCTTAGGGCCAGGAAACAGGGTTCACATTAAGGTGATAATGATCACTGTCCTCCTGGCCATCCTTCTTATCATATGTATTGCTTGTTTATCACCTCCGGGATTGCCAAATGTTCTCCTTTGTAGTTCTGTTATTTGTTTACCCCATAAATATGTGTGCTTAATTAGTTTAACTTTGTCCCCCACGTGGGTTTGTTGAAATGCTCAGAAGAAATCTGATTGGTTCTTTCAAACACTCTGTAAAAGTTCTTTTGTGAATAAAACGACCTGGGCCGAGGGGGCTAGAGACACAGGCACAGAGAGACTATTATACGCACCCCTCCCAGAGTCTTGCTGGTTCAATCAGAGTTCAGTCCTTCCTTTACTTTGAGAACGGCTCACTTCTCTCTCGCTTGGTCTCCAAGGACATGCAGAGAAATGAAGCAGGCTGAACAGAAATCAGTTGTGCAAAGGTGCAGATTGAAACTGCTTGGGATAGACCCTGGAGAGGAGTAGCATTAGTGGGCAGTGGGATGGTGGGGGCCTTCAGTCCTTACAACTACCCCATCAGGGCAAAAGCTGCAGAGAAGGGTTGCTGGGATCACTAGGCCAAACTGCTTCTGTTTCACTTGGAAGAAAGAGTTAACTTTACTGACTTCTCTGTTGTTTTAATTGCTGACCTATACCTTACCCAAGTCCTGACATAGCTGGACTTTGGGGAAGGGGTTGTCTGTATCATGAAAAGCTTTTCAAAAAATCTTAACGGACACAAAAGCGCCTCCCCTCCCACCCAGTGATACTGATGTAAAATAGAATGTCCCTTATAAACCCTTATAGGTCAAAGCCAGCATTTTGAATTAGGACAGGAAATGATTGAATAAAGCAGAGTCATTTGTCACAAGGAAAACACGTGATGGATAATTTAGCAATTTGCAAACGTGGACCCCA